CCGAGTATTAATATTAGTATTGTTCCAGCAGCAAAAACAATACAACTTCTGGACGTCACCAGCAATATATCGTCATACCATTTTGTTGATTAAAACTTGCACAGTCACTTGAAACATCTTGAGATGATCGGTGGTAAGGATATAACCGTAGTCGAAACCATGGTCACGGCATAGTTATTCAAAAACCGATCACCGCTTACCCGATGATAAAATCTCGGTTTCTTTTTTTTTTCATTTTCTGTGTTGATTATACAAGTCATTTTGGAGTAGGCTAAAAGACTTAACCTGAACTTATAAGCTATCTAGATTCTAATTTCTTGAACACTAACTGGACACACAGCGATATGATCGTGTTACTGATTTATTTTGAAGGCCTCTTCTCGTGTAAGCAAGGTTTGAAACCAACCTCGTTCCCAGGTTCTCTCTCCCGACGGGTAGGACAGAACCCTAGAAACGAGGTTGGTTTGAAACGAAGGTTTTTGCCTCCTCCCTCCGCATGGGTTCGATAAAAGGGGGGAGGGGTTTTTGGATTTCCATAAAGTGAGGTGAGTACATGCCCATACCACAAAAGGTCCTTGCCGCCCAGCAAATTGTTTTCTCCCGTGAACGTCCCTGTTGCTTTCTGCACCCGATTTCGAAGCGGCCTGTTGCACAAACCTTAGTTAAAAGAGTTTTACGCTGATATTCTTCGTTTAGAACCGTTACCGCATCAAAGCTCGGAACTGACAGAGGAACGCAAAGCGTTAAGCGAAGTCAAAAATATACCCTCCAAGGAATCAAATGAACCAGTCAAGATCAAGAAAACAGTGTCATCGAAGCTCAAACCAAATGGTACCGAGAATCAACCTGTGTCGAGTAAACTTCCTAAAACCCTCCATAAACCGCATTCTAGCAGCTCGTTATCGTCTTCTGATGAGGACGCGGTTCAATCAAGGCAGCATGGTTTCGTGCGACCCGGCAATACTCCTGGTCGATCTGTGCCTGTACACAGTGTACCCAGGACACCTGGCTTCAGCTTTGGCTCAGGTAAAAAGGTTTTCGTAAAGAAGACAATTTCCAAGTTCAATCCGGATAACAAGCGGAAAAGGAAGTTGTTGAGACCAGTAAACACTGCTTCGAGTTTGGGTGTGAAACTTTAGTAAACAAAGAAAGTCAAAGCTATTGCTTTAGTAAGAAAGAAGGGGTTGGTAAATCACAACTCTCAAGTAAAATGCAAGTGGTTTCTTTCTTCGATCGAAATTTAGTGAAGTCACAGACTGGGAAAAGAAGTGCTGAGTTTTTATGACTCAAAGTTATAGCTTTGAGGAATTATTAGATTAGATTTGGGGTTTACGCTTAATAGCGATTTTAGTCTTAACTTTTTAAAAACAATTCAAAAAAGCAAAGCGAGCTAACGTTTTGCAAGTTTGTTGAAAGATTTCATTTTAATGTTTTCTTTGTTCTATTATTTATTATTACTTTTTATTGACGAATATTTGGTTATTTTATATAGCATTACCCTAACACAGAAAAAATACGGTTTTATTTCTTTTAAGTGTAAATATCTAAAATGTTGAATTGAATTAAGGTACTGTAGACATCTGTTTATAAGCCCTTCAGCTCTTAGGGGCGCTTTATAAATAAATTCATTTCAATCCAAGCCAGAGGGAACTTATATCGGGGGGGGGGGGCTTATAACCAGACGTAATTTTTTATGTTGTTCACAGGTAGATGGGCCTATAACTGGGGGAGGGGCTTATTAACAGAAGTTTACGGTATTCTATCTCATAGTTCATTCCCTTTAGTGAGAAAACGTCTTTCAGTAATAACAAACTACAGTGTATGGCAGGGCTTTACTGTGTCATTATATGCGTGTCCAGTTAAAACTGACGTTTAAAAATAAACTAGAAAAGCATAACTTAAATCATTCGTCGTTGCGTTTTTGTCTACATAATGAAGCTTTGTGTGGTATGGACTTGCAAGGCTTGGACTAAACGCCGCCGCGACGCTAATTAAACAGGAATCAACTCCTCTGCTCCCTTTTCCCGTAGAAGACATTTATGACTTTTCTTGGTTATGATTATGATTATTATTTTTAAGAAGGACCAAACCTTGAATCCAACAACAAAAATCCTTGAAAGGAATGAAACCTTCAAATAAGGATATTACTGGGGGAGTATAAGTGGCGGTGCTGAAAACAAACAAACAATTTCGATAGGCGGTATGAAACATGTTGGGGAATTGGGGTCAACTAGATATTTTCCAGTCATAGACAGTCCTCAAGTTTCTTTACTGCTTTTAAAATAAGGTAATAAACTCGATGTCAAAGTCTGAAATGTTCTCTGGTGAATGTGCCAAGCGGATCATACTCCTCTTTCAGTTCCTTCAACCTCTGGATATTTGGCTTGCCAAAATAGTTTTCCAGGCGTTGTGCCCTATTTTTTTCTCCACAGTCAGCATAATTCTGATATGAGCCAAGTGAGTGAGGCAGTAATGACCGGGCCGTCTCTTCTGCCCACCGCCTGCACGCATGCGCATTACCTTTAGCCTCGTCTTCAGGCGTCCACACGGCCTGCACACTGAACAAATAAAGTGCATCTCTGTGCACGTAGGCGCAAGAATCACGTGACTTACGGTTGATTTCTCCGCCCAAGAGCTCGAGGCCGATAGTGTGTGGGTTAGAAGAAACTGGAGCTTCTTCCAACTGGCTGATGATTATATGAATGACCTGCAGGGTAAGAGAAAGAAGACAACGTATCTTCATTTATGAAGTCACCCAAATGTAAAATGATAAACGAGATAAAAATTTCAAAAGCTTTACACAATATAATGCAATGATAAGTTAAACTGGACAATTACGTCATTGGAGCAGCATGTAGCCGTTAGGGGCCGACCATTTGACTTTTGAGGGGGAGGGGGGGTGGTATGGGTGATTTGGTCCGGGAAAGAATGTTTTCCGCCCAAACCTCCGGTAGTGATATATTTTTTTTCCTGAAGTACAACGGTGTAAGAATTGTTTTTCATTATTATAGGCCATGAAAGATATTTTTTTCGCCATGTATTTCCTTGCAATAAATTTTTTCGCCTCGAAATCAGTCCACAGGATTTTTTTTTTCTGAAATCACCCATCAGCTCCTTATCTCATGTCCGTGAAGTCCGTTACCATTTAGTTCTATTTAGTTAAAAAGCTTCACTGCATAAGCTGTTGAAGTGAATTCACGTCTTAATCTTTGCACCAAGATTGGGGTGTTTCTAAGTTCCTGATAGAGATTTTCTAGAAAGGATTTTATCGGCCAAAAAACCCTGAAGTGATTTGTGTCACCGGAACAACCAGCCTTACACCTCAGTTGTTGTCCTTTAATCCGCCCAAATAGACACAAGTTAGTATTACCACCGATCCATATACCTTTGGAGTCAACTCTCCCAGAAAAGCAGATTTCCACATCTTGTAGGTTTTTACTGGTTCCTCCCCAAATATTTGCTGATACTCGACATAAGAGGTGGTCTGTTCTTCCCAAGGACCGTTAACAGCGGTAGAACTCTCTCCCGGGGGACGAAACCTCTCTGTTATACTACGAAGGAACGGAAGGAGTTTTCCCTCGGCTTCACTTGGATGTCCGTCATAAAAGTAATCCACTGCGACCCCAGGAATTTGTGTTATAAGGTAAATGTTGAAAGTTATTTCATTTTCAGCTGATCTACTGACAAAACTCGTTTATAACGTGCAGGAGTTCCTTAAGCTTTGTTGAGCTTATCGGAACGTACCAAAAGCGACCTGTAAGAATGCAACGCAGGACAGAAAATGTCACCGATTAGATATGGCTCCACTAATTGTCTCTTTTTACCTATGTGTACATTAAATGGGGACCGGAGACATACTGCCAGCATCTCTCAGTTTCAGAGGGAAACACGACAAAGAATACTCGTAGATGCTATGTTACAGGAACCAGAACTAAACTCCCGCCTAGTGGGCCTCCTCTTCGTATGCAGTTTACCTAAATAACACTTTAACAGTCAACATATAAACTACTGCACCTATATCACATTTCCTTCATATAGCAATCAATTCAATTTTAAAAACTGTTACAGTATGAGCGTAAACGTGATCGACCTTCTGTTCGGAAGCTTTCGCACGAAATATGTCAGTAAATCCTGGTTTTATATGATCGCTAGGATGCCTGAAAATAAGTTCAGCCATAGCAGCGATAACGTTCCGGAAACGGGCTTTATTTTCAAAGGTCAGTTTTAAAGCCTTGTTTTCCAGATGTCCTCTAATTTCGGTTATATAATCCAGAGCGAGTCATAAGCGATTGTAGCGAACATAATAGAAATCAGGCTTGAATCGTCCAACAGAGTTCAATATTCATAACAATAAGGCAAGAGTCCAACGTCAAGTTACAAGTTTCAAATGATTTTTTTAATCGATCCCAAAAATGCTTCTAAGTAAAAAGGTCCCTCACCTCCCACGTATTGTTCTTGCAAGGTATGTAATTTGACTTGTAGCTTCGTAACCACGCCATATCCTACTTGCCCAGCTCCTCTCAATACCCAGAAGAGATGTCTGTGCTCTTGCGAAGATGCAACTATCCGCTGGCCAGTAGCAGTGACAATTTCCATTTGAAGACAGTTTCGACTGCCAGCCCCTTCGTCCTGCTGAGAAACCCAAACCCTCCACCTAAAGTGAAACCTACTACACCAACAGTCGTGCAGGAGCCATTCACTGCAGCCAGGCCTTGTGGGCATGTGACGTCATCAAGATCCTTCACGTTCACGCCTGCCTCGATCCAGGCTGTTGCTGTCTGAGGATCAATGTCGATGTGTTTCATTGCTGACATGTCGAGAACGAGGGCATCGTGAATGATAGCCAAGCCTTCAGATGGGTAAACAAATTGTTACTTCAGTTTTGATTGGTAATATTTTAACGTGACACGCAGGTATTTTCTCTTGTTTCAGTCTGCGCGCCAAAACTGTTGGGAGGCTGGGTCGTGAGCGCTGGTGAGAACCATCTATCGTTAGGCGCCCCTCCCCCTCCAGTCTGGTTTTTAATTGGAAACGAGTTGCCAGTCAATAGGGATAAAGACGAAAATGGTCTCACTTGAGAGTTGTCCGGATTAAGAAAAAAATTCATTAAGACAGCAGTGAATATTCATACTAAGTGATCTAAGATATTCATGGTGTTATATGAAACAAAGACATTGTATTTGTGGCTTTTACTTTTCTGTTTAACAGTATGGTGGCCATCTCCATGACAGCTCTGTCTGAGTTAAAATCTTGATCCAGGGTAACCCTGCGTCGACCTGAACTTCAGTTGCATCGGTGCAGTAATGCTCATTATATTGACAATCAAAATGGATTAAAATTATTGCCGTTCTAAAATTGTTTTAATCAATGCCATTATAACTAGGTTGTAAGATAAAACGAAACTCAAGTCCCTAGAAACCAAGTTTCAAAATCTGACTTTCTAGAATACCTTTAGGGTCATGCCCTCCACCAAGCAGTGATACTTGATGCTGATTAGCTGAGGTGTATTGCAGCACACGACATACGTCATCCGTAGTCTTGGGCGTGAAGAAAGCTCTTGGTTTGTTGGAGTCGTTTTCACAGAGCAACCTTCCCATAGATTTTTTATACTCGTCCTGTCCCTCTAGAGCTGCTAACAGGTTTGGTGATTCTTTCAACAAAGCTTTAATCTCATGATCAGCTCAAGTTCTTGAGGAAGTTCATACTTCACAGGTCGCTTACTAGAAGGAAAACACAAGCAGGCTGCTCTCTCAAAATATTGGTATACTATGGGAGTTTTCTCATCTAGGGACACAACTGACAACAATGTAATCTTGTTGTGGTTTAACTCAAGGAAGGACTGCCTGTTTCTCAGAACAGTTTCACAAACGTGAACAGGTGGTTTTTTCCTTGCAGATACTACTAAAAAAGTAGATGTCATTCATCCATGCTTATTCTTGCATTGCTCTGTTCAGCTAAAACAAATTCGGCTATTTTGTCACGGTCTTCGGATAGCCGTGAACTCTTTCTCCATTTTCTTGAGTGCATTAATGACAAAAACAGCTAGGCTGCCGCGCCCCTGCGTGGAAACGATTGTACAAATGAGGCAAAATATAGTATGCGCTTTTGACCAAGCGTTGGGTCAAGATGGCTAGGTATTGGCCAATACCTTTTTGCGTTTTTATAGGCAGAGACGAAGTGGACACCAATACCTAAAATCGCAGTAAGAACGAGGCAAATACCCTTGATAGCCATCTTGACCGCAAAAGGTGGGTCAATAAAGAATTTACTATATTGCCAGGGTTCTATCTAGGGTATTTGAGGGATAGAAGCTTCCCCCCCAAAATGCCCAGCTTCCCCCCCAAAAAATATCGGAGCCAATTGTAACATTGTCAGAACGTGATCACGACTAAAAAATAAAATAAAATACCACTGTATTATTTCTCAAAATTGGGTCTCAAAATGCACCAGATTGCATCTCAGCGCATATTCATTCATAAAATTTCCGGGGGAGCATGCCTCCGGACCCCCTAGGAATCTCGTGGCCTTCGGCCTTTCGGGACTTCTCCCCCAAAACGATAAATCCTAGATAGAACCCTGATTGTCAAAAAGAGAACTTCTTTGCGGGACCAATGCGTGAAACGCCCGAGCGGGGAAGATGGGCCCATCTTATCCGCTCAGATAGCAAATCAGAACACAGGTCTCGCAACTTGCAAATTGTCGGCTTTCATATCAAACTAAAGAAATCATGGATTCTTCCAAGTTTTACTCTCATGAAGTATTGGAGCAGTTAAAGATTCTAAATATTAATACAAATTTTCACTTCGAAAGGGTTCTTCGTTTTGTTATAAAATACGCGTGAATTGCTAAGCCTTTGAGTAACGCGGCCTTTACATTAATATTTAATGGCGGTCGTGAGAGCTGTGGTGTAGGTTAAATGAGGGTTTTTCTATCTGAACAGTTATTGTACTAGTAAGAAAAAGTATCGAGAGATGACCCTAACGCATCAGTGACAGATGTTTCCGTTGGTTTACAGCCGCCATGTTGGTGTCCATCGGAATGGGCGTCAAAAATTAAATCGAAATTAAAATGTCTAAATACAAAGCTCTATAAATTTGAGTAAATCATTTCTTCGAATATCTCGCATATGGAAAGTTGCACTGACCTGAACCTTGGAGAGGACTTTTGCATATTAACCTTCTTTCATTCCCCAGATTCTGGACTTTGATTTTTTATTCAGTTTTGATGGCGTGAACAGTGAAACTGGATCAGCAACTGCAGCAATATGTTCAGTGTTTGTGGCCTGCATCGCAGACGCTCTAAACCGCCTGTATTACGTAGCTTGTATTGCTGGTTTTTAGTGTCACGCCATTCAAAATAGATCAAACTGATAAAAATCAAAACCGTTCAATAGATTAAGTCCAGAATCTGGGAAATGAAAGACCGTGAATATGCAAAGACTCTCGCCAAGATTCAGGTCAGAGGAATATTTCGTATACGAGACAGTATCCGAAGAAATGTTTCACCCAAATTTATCGAGATTTAGCTAGATTTGTATGAAGTCGCCTTGCTGGTGCCCATCCGCATGGGCACCAACATTGCGGACGGAAACCAACAGAAAAATCTGTTACCGAGTTTTGCTACAAAAGCGTGAGCTTATTCCTTGAGGAACTTATGAACATTAAAGTAATACTTTTTCCGTGTTTAGATAGCAAAATTCACCGAAATAAGTCACTTTTTTTAACCTACAGGACAGCTCTCCCGGCCTTAATGTAAATGCCGCGTCACGCAAAAGCTTTAGATGATGCGTGGGCCGGCTGCAACTTAGGCTACAGTATGGAAAGCCATAACTTTCTTATGTGGTTATTTATCATTATGTGGTGTGGTTTCTTCATTGTGTCTTGTGGTTTCTTCATTATGTCTTGTGGTTACTTCATTATGTCTCGTGGTTACTTCATTATGTCTTGCGGTTACTTCATTATGTCTTGTGGTTACTTCATTGTGTCTTGTGGTTACTTCATTGTGTCTTGTGGTTACTTCATATTATGCCTTGTGTTACTGCATTATGTCTAGTGGTTACTTCATTATGTCGCGTTGTTACTTCATTATGTCTTGTAGTTACTTCATTATGTCTTGTAGTTACTTCATTCTGTCGCGTTGTTACTTCATTATGTCTTGTAGTTACTTCATTATGTCGCGTTGTTACTTCATTATGTATTATGGTTTCTTCGTTATGTCTTGTGGTTACTTCATTATGTCGCGTTGTTACTTCATTATGTCTTGTAGTTACTTCATTATGTCTGTCATAACTTCATTATGTCTTGTAGTTACTTCATTATGTCTTGTGCACGTGGTTACTTCATTATGTGTTGTGGTTACTTCATTATGTCTTGTAGTTACTTCATTATGTCTTGTAGTTACTTCATTCTGTCGCGTTGTTACTTCATTATGTCTTGTAGTTACTTCATTAGGTCGCATTGTTACTTCATTATGTATTGTGGTTTCTTCGTTATGTCTTGTGGTTACTTCATTATGTGGTTTGTTCATTATGTGATGTCGTTCCGTCTTTATGTTTTGTTGACTTTACTTCCGGTACGAAGCTCTAGTACCCAGGCTTTACTCATTACTAGGAACTAGTCAAACCGGTTTTAAGAGGGGCCCCAGTTCCTGCTCTTTCGTGTTCCTGCTCTTCTTCACATTTCGATTACCTTGTGAACGAAAGAAACATCATGAAGAGTATTCTGAAGGACCTCAAACTCGAGTCTCTCATTCCGAAATTTGCTGCCGAAAGAATTGAGCCTGAAAATGTATCAGAGCTGTCTGATGACGAGCTTGTATGTCTTGGTGTAACTACGATCGGGGATCGTCATTGCATCCGTGCCCTTTGTGCTAACACCGAAATAAACATCAGTCTGTGGCTGCAGCTGCTCTTAGCGAACGCGTGGCTCTTTTCAGCGGACGTAATGGCAGCAGTAGAAGGGGTGGACGCGGTGGGAAAAGAAAAGTTTCTTCGAAGAGAGTTGGACAGTATTAAACTATTGTTTGTTTAGCCAGCCGCCATCAATCGAGAATTCCGTCGTCGACAGAAAAGCAAGTCCTTGGGTTCGGCATAATGGCTCAGTCAATTCCAAACGTGCCCATCCCCCCGGGCATTTGTTGGGCATTTCAATTCAATTCCATTTTATTCACACTTTTATAAAATATTTACATTATATATAGTAAGGTAGGAATACACTAATAAAGAAGAAGAAGAAGGAAAAAAGAAAATTAATGGCTTGGATAGAAGTGTACGGTGGTGAGAGTAGCTTAGCTTCCGAGCTAACCATTTTGTCATTTTGTTTTGGAAACTGAGCTGCAAATGCTGCATGGTGGGGCCGGGCGTTCATACAGAAATCCCATGGTAGGGCTTAAAAATAGGGTGCAAATGCCCCACTCCGGGACAACACCAAAATTGTATTCCCCAGTAAATAAGCTGCAAATACCATATTTATGGATCTCTAATAATCTTATCAAAAAGTGTGAAGCGCCCTACGCAAATTGCTCCTAGTCGCCAGTTACAATTATTACACTGAAAGATCACGTCCATCTGATTAATATCAATTAAAGAACTGTAAACTAGAATTTTAATAATACTTCTTATTTTCGAAGACGTTATTTAATATAGTGAATGATAAAAAAACAACCGATGAACTATTAAACATTTTCTCATCATAACAGAACTGTTTCGTCGGCCTATTACTTGCCGCATTGATCGTACAATACAGGAAGTTTATATCAGCTTTCAAATACCTCGCAAAGGTTTTCTAAGCAATTCTACCTCAACCATTCACGCACAAAGAATGTCTTTCCTTTAAACTCTTCAAACGATACATTAATTGTTTTTCCTCCATGTGCGAAATGATCACGTCACGGTGGCGGCAGGCAATTTCCTAGACGGATGCAAATATTACTGTGGGATAGGGAAGTGATGGGGTGAAAACCACACATATCTTTTTAAAGCAAAATTATTAAAAATATTCTTTATAGAAATATATAAAGCTATCCAATTAGGCATATTTTTAAGTGAAATATTGAAAAAGGAACGACTTTAACCGCTTCTAGAAAAATTGACAAATTCCCAACCCCCGGCCAGAGGTTTTCCGACAAATTCCCCACTGCTGGGACCTACAAGATGAATTGTTGCCTGCTCCCGCCATTTTGTAATCTTTGACTACGCTGAAGAGCAAGAACTGGGGCCCCTCTTAAAACCGGTCTGACTAGTTCCCAGTAACGAGTAAAGCCTGGGTACTAGAGCTTCATACCGGAAGTGAAGTCAACAAAACATAAAGACGAAACCACATCACATAATGAACAAACTACATCACATAATGAACAAACCACATAATGAAGTAACCACAAGACATAGTGAAGAAACCACAAGACACAATAAAGTAACAACGAGACATAATGAAGTAACCACAAGACATAATGAAGAAACCACGAGACATACATAATGCAGTAACACAAGGCATAATATGAAGTAACCACAAGACATAATGAAGTAACCACCACAAGACATAATGAAGAAACCACAAGACACAATGAAGTAACAACGAGACATAATGAAGTAACTACAAGACATAATGAAGTAACCACAAGATATAATGAAGTAACCACCACAAGACATAATGAAGTAACCACCACAAGACATAATGAAGTAACCACAAGACACAATGAAGTAACAACGAGACATAATGAAGTAACTACAAGACATAATGAAGTAACCACAAGATATAATGAAGTAACTACAAGATATAATGAAGTAATAACGAGACATAATGAAGTAACCACAAGAAATAATGAAGAAACCACACCACATAATGATAAATAACCACATAAGAAAGTTATGGCTTTCCATACTACAGGGCTAGCTGGTCATGAAGATTTACCCGAGGTTTTAACAATAAGAGACGAAAAATATCTTGAATGCATAATAAATGCTTTTATATTCATTCAAAATATTTCTCCATTTCCAATTGCCTAAAATCCCACGCCTAATTCATCGTAACCAGCTACTGTTGACCAAATTTGGAAGAATTTTGCGATCTGTGAACTGAAGAAGTCAATTGTGCAGCAAATTGCTAGATTATTGACCCGTTAACCGTGAAAACCTGGGGACGAGTTTGAGTTGCTTCGGTAGTGATTCAAAATGGCAGAACGTTTCACGAGGAAGAAATAGACAAAGTGCTGGCTAAAAACACAAGAAGAACAGTAAACAGACAACTCGACGGACGACAGCTGCTATTTGCATAACTGAAGCACTCTTTATCTCCTAAACTTGCCGATAAAAGTGCACCATCGAAGATTAACTTAATACAGTATCGATGGACTAAGCATCTTAATGAGCTTGTTTTTAAGCTAAGAATGATTTTGAATGAATAATAAAATCATTATTCAAGTGCGCTGAACCTAAAAACAAAGGAAAAGACCACCTGAACAACAGCAGTTAAAAATCGACATTGTTCTGGACTGAACAATATAGGTCAGTTAAAGTGGCATATATAGTCGATTATTGGCATTGATTTCTGTCAAACCTTTTCGGCCCTCGCGATGGTATGGATTTAGCCCAGTAAGGCGAGTATTACCCTCACATCGTGACCGACACTAGATTGCCGCCAATGTTTTCGGCACATTCAGTAGCTTAAGAAGGCTAAGAACAGAACTCAGATAATGAATGTGCAGAAGAGCTTGTAACATAATAAAACGTTCTGATGATTCAAACCTATACAATTTTAAAGATACAGATCATTAGTAAATAACTAGAAAATTGCATTCCTTGCAACGAACCCTATTAATTTTGTCCAGAACAAACAGTTCAAGTTTCTACACAATTCGCGATGTTGAACTGACTCTTCAGTTCGGCATTCGGTGCAAAATATATTGCGTCAAAATACTTTTATCAAGCAGAACTTCTCTTCCAGTTTCATACTGGTGATGAACTGAAATAAGTCAAAAATCAATAAGAGAATCTTACAAAGACTGGCTCATAACAGTGTCATAAAGCAATTAACAATTTAAGGCTACCTTCGCGGATTCGAAGAACTTTGGTCGGCCCAGCAAATTGCCAAATACGTCTCATCTCAGACAGTGCTGTTTTTGACATGCTGTGTTAAGAATTTTCTGAGTAACATGTAAATCCGGCATTTCTAAGAAATGCTTTCAGTGACGGAAATAAACGGCGTTCTAGGTGGCTTCGAATATCAGCGAAGATAGCGAAGAACTCTGAATTCGAAACTAAGTTCTTTATACTTTCGATAAATAAAAATTCATCAATAATTATTTAAAAGCTATTGTTAATATAATATTTTACTATAATTAACCATTAGACAGCGTTTTTCCCTGGAACTCTTTTAATGACGTTTTCAGTTTCCTATCCAGTTCATAAAATATAGTGGGCAATCTTCCAAATCTTTTTGCGATGATTCGAATTTCTCTGTTTGAGATCAGAATTAAAAAATAATGACAGACAGGAGGTCTGTGCGAAAAAAAAAAAGTAATATCAATTTTTCCTTTAACCTTTCAAAGCATCAATTTAGAACCGCGAGTCGGGATTAAAATATGCCAGTTCCCTTGAAGAAAGTAAAAGTTCATTCGTAAGATAAAGGGTGACCAAAAATGGGAGAGATGCATTTCCTGTGCATATGAAAATACTCTATGAAAGCCCCTCTCTCTTACTTATTACTTAAAGCTACGAAATCAATGGCCATTTTCTTCGTTTAATTAATAGTTAGGCAAATAATTAAAACGATCGTTCATTCAGCAGTGGTTCAGCAATGTGGAACCCCCCTGGGACCAAAGGGGGGAAATTCATATATCCCATGATGCATCGCTTCATACTATATTATCAAGCTTCCGAACGCACGTGATCCTATCAGTTCAGCAGGGACGCAACAGTTGAACAACGGTGGAAAGCCAATAAAACCTTCAGAACCTTTGCTGTGTCGATCTATTAACGATTTTCGTTTTACTATTCCAAATATATCTCTTGTTAAGTCAAAGAGAGTGTTTTGGCCGCCGATTATTAGTTAACTAGCCTTACGATCGCAAGGCAGTCCACGCAAATGTTCTTAGAGGCTAGCGAGGAAGGTCTTTGCTTCAGAATGTCCTGTTTTAACGTGCCGTGATAAAGCTCTCCATGGATTAACAAGCGATTTCCACGTACTTGTCTTGAACTAAATACATATTCTAGGTGTGAGATTTCTCTTCGTTGCTTGTTTGCCGATCGCAGTGCTCATGTTGTCAGTTTAATAATTCATCAATGCAGTAAATCAACCATTCGTTGACCGCACATGCTTTTACTTCAACAAGCTCGGCTTATGCACTTATGTAGTCGAAAGTACCAAGACCGTTAAAGGTACAAAGTGACGTCTATCGGAGATAAAATTCAAAGGAAGGGAATAGCTCCAACAAACAATATAAATAACAAAGACATCTCTATATTTTTCGTAACCGGTCAGAGTAAGACGTAGACTGCGGACTGCAGACTGCGGACCAGGGGTAAAAATACATGTAAACAAACACTTACTTGAGGACATATATCTGCTTTCACAAATACATTCATTCTTCTCTTGAACCTTTTTTTTTTCGTCCGAGCATGGATAATTGCTGCGGAGCGACCGAAGGGAGCGAGCAGCAACATAATCAGGATTTAAAGGAAATATATAAGGGGCGACGAATTCTCGAATTCATCACTTTTTACCACAATGCATTACATTTAACCACACTTTTTAACACAATGCATTGCATTTAACCAGAGTGCATTGCGCCACGAACAACTCAAATAAAAACACGGGGAAGTTCGGTGGGTGAGAGTGCATCGTTCGCTGCTTAGACTTAGAGTTTTCTTTGTGGCAAATTTTCTACAGCACGGTTAGAGGTCTTACCGAATTTTAAGACACGCAGGAGTCTTTCAGATGAGTACGATGGTTAACTTGGCGATTGGATTTCAATTCAAGAGCCTTTGACTCGTCCAGGTGTTAAACCTGACGAGAAGATGAGCCTTTGCTCTTCG